GGGAGAAATGGTGAGCTTGTTGAAGCACGAGTCCTCTGCGTCGTAAATAGATCCGCGTGTAACTCACCACTGTCATGGAGCACGGTCTAGTCATTTGTACCGGATTTGTCAACCGACTCACATTCGCAGCATTTTTAAACACTCCGCCCTACTAGCCAATCCATGTTGAGAAGAAAAATAAGACCTGTTTGACCATTTATTACAGAAGAATATTCCCACTAAAGTTATCTAATGAAAAACCGGTAGTGACCATAAGCGTGCGTGCATGCGTAAATTCGGCATAAATAGTAAGCAGTTTTGTAAGAAAACGTGTTCTGAAATTGTAAGCAGATTCCTTGGCAGAAATTTGTCAAACATCTGCACGACGCTTGGTGAAATCTGTGGCTGCTTTATTTTTCCCGGCTGGAGACTTGATATGCGGAGCTTTGCCGGTTTTGGTAGTGGAGACGGATAGAGAAGCTAAAATGGAGAAGTCGCATTACAGTAATAAAATTATAGGCCAACACAAGTGCACGCCAAATGACTGGGGAAAAAATTCCCAATCTCATAAAATCAAGATGGCACGTCGTCGTGGATGGACAAATAATGCATAAAAGTAAGTGGAAAGGTAAGGCTCTCAGTTGACATACCTTTGTGTGAGCACCCTGCAGTTGCTTCTTCACAGGCCTTTTGCGTCAGAAAATTGTTTGCACTTGGGTTGCAACCGCCAAATGTGAATTTTCTGCACTGTCCGATTTTACTGTCGTATCCATATCGTATGTGGATGGCCCGACACCTTCCGGCTTCCAGGGGCGTATTGCATATATTCGTGGCGGCTGGATTGTAGGGATTTAGCTGTTAGCATGATTGGTTATTTGAACTAACTACTATTATACAGGTTAGGCTTGAGTTCTAGACTAGGGATTAAGAGGAACACAAGTTATCTATCCACAGCGCAGCGAGATCTTGGTATTTGCAATACTCACAGGTACGGTACGTCACCTATCTCATGAAACCTGATAACAGAAACTGATATGAGAATTTCTGGACGTCTTAGACGTTGCGCATTTTGCTTGCTTATCCAGTCACTTCAGGGAAATGTCCTTTTCTTGTAAATGAATTTATTTCACGTAAATATATTAAGCGAAATGTTCATAAATTCTAGCGAAAATGGACGTTGCGGTATACACGGACAATCCTATGCTAATCCCTGTCCTAGACTTCGGTTGGGCATCTGAGTACCTTTTTCATTGAAAGAAGAGTAATTTACCCGTGGAGGTCTTAATAATCAGAAGTTGCCAGACCTAAATAGTTATCTTTTTCCGGATTTATGGTTAAGGAACGTGAAAGAAACGGCCAAAAGAGTCAATTTTTTTTTCTCGGCCTCACCACAAAAATGCAAAGTACACAGATATCCGTCAACAAAGTGCAGTATTAAAGCACTTCTTAAAGAAGTAGCTTGGAAGAGAAAGTTTTCTAATTGTTCGAATTGATATTCGTTGCTGACTTTCGCTGTGGACGACCATTATACTCGAAAATGAAGTTTTATGTTTGAGTGAGTCCTTACATCTGATCCAAACGACATCCGTCATGAGAAAGAACACCCAAACATTCGCTTATTTGGTAACTGCCTTCATCAGTAACTTATTTTAAAGTTTTTAAAAGATAACTGTTACAGAATATGTTTTTATGGACAAACCGCATCTCATTCAACTCAAAGGAGTTACGACTGCCGCGAATCCCCGGGAAACTGTCTTGGAATCCATTCTCAGAATGTAGGCCGTTGACAAAAATTGATATATGAAATTATATTAATTCTTAAAGGATATCTAGATGAAAATTTCACTAAAACATTATTTTTGAACATAATTTTATTTGTAATTTAATATTTACATTGTTTTTGGACAAGAAGACATTCCTTTTATCAAAAAACGAGATTTACTGAATTGCAGCCATTTTTGAAGTTTTCGAGATTTTTCGCTTCCCCAAAAACGGCCTTTCGAAGCAGCACAACATTGCTTTTAGTATTTCTTTTATGTTTTTAAGTCTCTCACCGATTTACTTGATCAGCATAGATATGGGATCTATGAATTGGTGCGGTTCGCGAGTGACTAACAATCATTCGTATATTTCGACAACTTTCATGGCCTAGGTCATCAACCGTTTGTGCATGGACTGCGAGACGAACAAAGAATGCTGGTTTGATTAGCACGCCCAGTGACGGACGAGCGCTTTGACTGGATCTCATAAAATTACTCTGGAACGCAAGTTATTTAAATAAAGGTGTGGTTTAATTTTAAAACTTCAAAATTCCGGGGCGTGCACACAAATAGGCGGACAGACCGAAATCAGCCACTTCCAGCGTTGCAAATTACGAAAACTAACGCGATCATTCTGAGGACCCCTCGACCGGATGCATTTTATCCACCCCCTTCCCTCCCCGCGAAGTCCGTTTTCCCATGTAGAGTATGCTTCAATGCAATACTACAAGTGCAAATCTGGGTGGGAATCAACCCTAGATTACATTCAGGCAATTTTATAGGCCAGTGAATGTCCTAACCCACATTTGTGCATAAATCATTTGATTCTGCCGTACAGTAGATGACCTAGTTCATGAACTATCTTGATCGGTATTTACGTTAGTAGAACTGCATATAGTCGGTGCGGTTAGGTCTGTTTTGAAATTGATTGGAATCTAAAATGCCCTTTCCTGAAGAACAGGTCATGTAAGGTCAATTTTAATGAGGGAAAACAGGTCAAGATTAGGCAAATTTTGATGTTTCCAGATATCCACGTAATTTTGTATTCTAAGAAGTGTCACCTGATAGAAACCCCTATTAGTACGCGTTGCGCTATAAAATAAATTTCATAGAACCAGGAAAAATATCAAAAAGGCCCACTGTGGAAATGAACAGTGTTATTTGTACTTCACGAATATCTGGCTAAGGCCAATTTATAAAGATTCATCCTTTTCATGGAGAAAGAAGACGTTTGATGTAAACAAATTCCATTTAGTAAAATTGCCACGTTTTATATCGTCACACACAGTAATAACCTTGTTCGACAGTGTTTGTTTTATTACACCGGGAACTGGTAGGCGTAGAAGCACACATATATATAGCTCTATACAAATTTCCCAAGGACAAATGGAAGCGAGCGCGGCCAAAGCCGAGGGGATGGTTAAAACAATTGACGCGCATTGGCGCAGACCTCGGCCAAACAAAGAGTTACTTGTTCGACAGAGTTAAATAGTTAATTGATTTTGTACATAACCCAAAAAATCTGACTACGAGCTGAGGAACCAGACTCGAAAATTTACGCATTAAATGTTATTCCCTCCCCAAAAATCTAACTTATTTTCAATATATTGTTCTGTACAAGCTGCCACTTTTCTTTGCCACGCCGTACAGCAAAGATGTCGAAACAGTTACTATCGGAAGTTGACTTTGAGCGGATACGGTAAATGGCAGCCGAAGGGCTGCAGCCTGAGTTGATAGCTAGTATTTTCAATATTAAGCAGACAAATATTTGGAGAAGTATTTTAGACAAGCCTGCAAAGTCGGCTCAGGTGGTCATATGTGGGAAGAACTTTCCACGAGAGCACACTATACCGACACCAACTTCCAAGTTTTGTCGACGCCTGATGGTTCTGATGGCCATCCAATTCGGAAAGCGATCGGTCTTGCGCTCAACAGCGGAGATGCTAAAGAGCAAGGTATTCATCGACATCGTAAATGATGTCTTCGGTTACAACGACATTCATCGATGCCGAATGGACACTGTGATGTTGCAGGATAATGCCCCTATTCACCGCCCAAAAGGGGTGGGATTCCAATCCAGCTTACGACTATAATCTAATATTTTGGACAAAGGCCAGCCTCTCCGCCTGCTTTCTTCGGAGCGCTTTTAGTCCTGCTAACAGTCCAGACGTCAATCATATCGAAATTCTTTTTGCATTTATCAAAAGAAAGTGGGACCAAGCAAAACGGCATCTTTCAATGGAGAAAAGGATAGCCTTTTGCTTAATAATTTCATAGATCAAACCACCGTAAACAACTTGGTAGTCTCCATGCTCTCTCATCCTACGGCAACATTAGAAGCTAAAGGACAATTAATAAAGTACGATTACGTTGTATTTGTTACTGTTTTTTTATCATTTGGTCTTTGTACGACATTTTCTTTCTCTGTTCACAGTTATATTAGGCCTTGAATAATTGACCCGTCATATAGTCGCATTTTGGATCGGTGGTTCTTCCTACAATAATTCCCTTCTTAATCACTAAATAATACTTTGTAGATCAAACTGTGTTTTGTTTTGAAGCTCGTTCGTATATCTAACGCAGTATAACTTTCGTGGATGCGGGGTGGGCATTACGTGTGCCACAGCTATTTAAGCTCACAGTTCGTGACCCTTCATGAGATAGGTCACGAACCGTGCGTGCGGGAAATGCAGCCGATAGAATAAACTACTGTAACATTTTCCGACTACAATGCCCATGATGAAATCTATCGATGCCCGCTAGTTTTCAAGAACTGCGTCAGAATAGTTGAAAATGAAGAGGGCTGTTGGACTCTGTTTAAAGCTAAACTCTAGAGTAGGTGATTCTATACTTAAAGCACAGGTAATTGATAGAAGCCCATACACGCCTGATTCGCCGATAGTCTGCCGCTGCATGACACAGCTGTGCGGGGTTCGACTCATCAGTGGGTCCCCTAGCACTTCCCGTCTGCTTTCGGGTAGATACTCCAATTTACAAACTGTTGCTTTGTAATTTCCTTAGAAAATAACTGCGAACTTGGAGTAGGTCAGTATATTTAAAGTCTATAGGGTCAGGCCGAGAATTTTTAAGCATGAATATTTTGGCCGAAGACCATCAGCCACAGCGAGTAACCGCATTCTATTCGTTAACGGCCAACAGGCAGTTAGTAGTATACTTTAGGGTAAGGTGATTCCATACTAACAGCACAGGTAGTAGCCAAAAGAGCAAACACACATGTTTCTATTTTCATCTCTTTTTTAGTCTAATGCCACTCGATATCCAGGATCGGTGGGGTGGAGAGGAGTATTTGCATTGCGGCCTTAGTCTTGGCTGAATATGAATTTTCAATAAAAAAGGCAACACAATTTTGGGGCAGGTATTCCGAAAACCCGATATTATTTAACAGACCCTAAATAATACTACTAGCCGCCTGTCAGCAGTTAACGAATATTACGCGGTTACTCGCCGTGGCTGATGGACTTCGACCCAAATATTCATGTATCAAAACTTCGGTCTGAGCCTTCAGACCCTAGATACCCTGACCTGCTCTAAGTTCGCGGTAATTTTCTAGGGAAATTATAAAGCAATAAAGTTGAATTTTGCACCTACCTTCGTTTGCTGAAAGCGAAACCGCTGCGACCGAGAGGAGAAGAATGAGGATCAACATGATTGCCTTGAGTTTGTTTGTCTTATCCCGCGTTTCCTTTTATATCTCTTTCTGAGTAATGCCCTGGGTTTGGGCTGGGCGGGCGTTAGCCAACTTTTTGCCTTTCTAGGACGACACATGTCCAATACTGACGGATGTGCTTGTCACCTGATATCCAGGCAAGTCTACGGGGCGTTCTTCTGCATTTCTCTTGTGTCACTCTCCTCGGTGGCGTGGGGAGAAATTTTCGCGCTGTGGCACTAAACTTAACCTCTTTTACCGGCAGGAATATGAATTTTCAGTAAAAAAGGCAGCACAATTGCAATGCAACTATTCAGAAAATTCGGTATTGTTAAACAGACACTTTGCATTGCCTTGTTTTATTTCCGAAGGAATAACTGCGCGAACCTGGAGTAAATCCTTCGGAACAGACCTTTTCAGGTCAGATCCGAAGGCTGATATGAATATTTGAGCTAAGATTCATCAGCTACTGCGGAACAGCCGCATAATATTCACAAACTGCGCTGAAAACAGCCAGTAATATAGGATTGTGTCATTATTTACCTTACTGACAACACAGGTGGAAGCTTAGAGCCTAGACACACATTTTTCGCCGATCATGTGTCACTGCCTGACGCAGCTGCGAGGTGTTCGGATCATCACTGCGTCGCCGAGCCCTTCCCGTGTTTTTTCTGATATATGAACTCCAGTTCCAACATGTCTTGTTTAATTTCCGAGGAAATTAATGCACGAACTTGATGAGCTGCATCGGGCGGCCGCACCAGATCGGCGAAACACGCGTGTTTGGGATTTTACAGTGCGTTACCGATCTCATGAAATGTTGGCAATAATTCTGGAATGCATTTCCGATTAGGAAGGATTTCTTAAACGGGGTTGTCATGCTGATTAACATGCAGCTTAACCACAGAACATTTCAGACTTGCCAGGATGCCGGTCTGCTAATGCACTTCCTTTTGACCTCCTGTGGAAACCATACTCGGCAAAAATGACTACTTAAGTAGCATGGCTTTTTCCTATTGGTTTTCGATGGCCCTATAAATTCCTACATATTTTATAGAAAACGCAAAAAAACTAAGCGTGTATTTAGGCTTTGAAAGAGTTTCCCAATTCCCGAATAATTTTCGGCCTGATCTGCCATTGCATCAGCGTTTAGCAATTTCAGTCTACAAGGTGCATGCTTTCCGCGTAAGGAAAATCACATATTCCTCTATGTCTTGAGGAGCATTAGTAAACGGACATTTGCGGTCTTGCGTGCATAGACAACGCATGGTCTTAAAAATTTAATAATTAGAAACTTTCTTAAGACCTAAATTCCCACTTTCTTCAAATAGAAAGTATGAAAAAAATGTGATTTCCTTCCAAATGAGCAAAAGAAAGCATATTTTGTGTATGTTTTCGGTAAAATATATTTGCATTTTTAAGATCATCGAAAATCAACAGGAAAAAGACATGCTACTTAAGTAGTCATTTTTTGCCGAGCGTGGTTTCTGCAGGTCGAAAAGAAATGCATTCAAAACCTCGCATCCTGCCAAGTCCGAAATGTTATAGGGTTATGCTGCACGACCCACTTAAGTAATCCTGTCTTATCGAAAACGTATTCCAGAATTTTGGCCTACATTTCATGAGATCGGTCACGGACTGTAGTCAGGAAGACCGGAGGCGGGGGAAGGCGCAGGTGGCTACTAATATAAAGAATACAAGCTGATGGGCCGATTCTCGTGAAGTACATCATTTTGCATTGTCAGAAAGTTCATTGTAGAGTGAATTAGCCCGAAATGGATCATTTGTGGCTGCGGCATGCGGATGACAAATGTGTTGTCTTTAAAAGCAAAAGCATATATTTTCTAATTAATTTTCGATGCCCTTAAAAATTCAGTTATAATTTGCTGGCAAACACGCGGATAGTGGCGCGGGTCAGCAATAAGAAAGGACGAGAACTGTTAGAGGCCTGGGTGTCTGACACCAACGCGATCAACAGGCACATTGACATACCCCCTGCTATCACGCGCTCCGTTCCCGCGGCCAAGGGGCGAGACCCAATTTCCAGCCAAGGGTGCACGCAGTCACGCCACCGTGAGACGGCGTGGGACGCAACTTATCGTGAATACCACCCTCTGCACTCATATCTCTCCTCCCCCCCCCCTTCATGGCGTGACTACAAAAACCACTCATTTGATGTTGCCTTCTCACAGTCTCTGACGATGGCCTACTGTACGAGACCGAAAGCTCAGACTAATAAACCCACTGACCCAGAGATCGGGTCTTCATCTTCTTTACAACAAGAACCTGGGATTCGCATATTCGCTTCCATCCGTAAAGAAAAAGTTAGATAGCGAGGGGATAAAAGCACAAAAAAGATGTCGGCCAAACTGAGCTGGCACACGACTAGGTGGCAGAGCAGGAAGTGGCGCGCAGGTACTGCCTGAGCCCGCTCGAGCACCGGATGATATCGATTAGCATGTGTCAGTGCACTCCGTCGATTGCGCCCCTGTCAACGTTATCGCGACGCGCATATCGACCAATCAAATCGCAGATACGTTTGGGGGCGCGAACGCGTACATTCGCGAGCTCGATACGCCAATTTTTGCTATTAGGGTATCGACTCACCGCCAAATTTTCGAATTTTACATTTCCATCTAAATCGATTTGCCTACGCTGGGGCTAGTTCTTCTTACCCTGCATTGTCATGTGTAAGTCTGGTGAGGTGTTGACAGAAGCGCATCATGCTTATCGGCACGCCCACGTCACCATATAAGACATGAGAATGCTCTTCGTTCAGAACAGAAGGTAATTTCCTTAAAATTGACGAAAACTTTCTGGAGAGGGAGCAAACTGTCTGAAATGTGACTTTTTTTTAGAAAAGTGGGTGCCCGCGAAGCGATCATCCTGAAATAGCTGAAAGCAGAATAGGAAGATTTCTTACACTAGTGCGTCAGACGTACTGAATAGTCAGCAAAACGACCGCCCGAACAGGGACTCGAACCCTGGACCCTCAGATTAAAAGTCTGATGCTCTTTCGACTGAGCTATCCGGGCTCGGCAGCGTGGCTTATAAAAGTGGCACAACTGCGGGAATTTTACGACTGAAAAAGGTGCATTCCAAAGTGCCCTGAGCCCAGTGTGAAAGCTGCAAGGCTGAGCTTAACACTCAGTAGCACCTAATCGCTGTTTAACATACGAGCATTTCGACTGCGCCTAACACTGAAATTTCGCACCATATGCCTAAGGGGCAGCAACATCTCCCATCTTAATGCCTTAATTAAGGCATAACACCTAGGTAAACCAAATGCAAAGGATCTAAAGGGAAGGAACTTACCCTTCCTACATTGTATGCCAGCAGTGGCGACACGCCAATGCAGTGGCAGTCATCGCCAGTGAAAAAAAAATCCTCATCTGCCCAAGCACGTTCAGAGACACTATTATAAACTATCTTATCTACAATAAATAGTCGACAGGCGGTTTGCAGAACGCCTGCACGTCCGAAGGCTTCCCAACTCCACAGTATATACCTACAGTGAAAACTTTACTTAAAATTGGCCCCACAATTCTGCCTAAAAAAGGCCAAAACTCACGCTTAGTCTTCCTATGAATTGGAAGACCATCTATTGCTAGGCATTTAACTACTTCTTCTACTGAACGAGGAAGAGCCAGAGTACGCAACTGGGCGTTCAGCTGAGATTCTAATTCCAAATGCGCGTACTCACCCCTGACCATTGCCGTGATCGGTGCAAAGATGTATGTCGCGCCTAACAGCCTTCGTGCGTCAGCTGGGAGGTCCGACATCCACGGTCTCAAAGCCTTAAGCAGGTCGTTCAAGTGCAAATGTGGAGTTTTTGAGCATAAAGTCCACTTGCACAGACTTTCACGTGAGCTTGAATCCTTCTCCTCTACTTCTGGCGTTGAATCACCTTCTACGTACGTAGACGCACTGGGACCCTCCAACGAAGAAGAGTGTTCGTACTCAAGCGAAGTTGAGGACTCAGATTCGTCCGTGAAGCTATCCGACCAACTGCTAGACGATGTGGCCAACGACGACATTTCCCTCACTGCTTCGCTGATTCTTCGTATTAGTTTTTCCGTTTCCCTACGTGCTTGACGCCGGATATTACGCCTACTAACAGAATTAAACATAACTGTCAGTAAAAAGCAACAAGATGGAACACGGAGGCAAAGACGGGCAAGGCAGGCGATGGCAGCGTTGAGGCAGGCACGGCGTGCGCACTGCAGCGTGAGAAGGCAAAAAGTGGCGCTGGGGTGAGCGTGAGGACAATCGGGCACCGAATCTAATCGATAATCAAGTGCAAGTATACGCGGCCGCTTGCGCCCTTCGCGACGTCGGCGCAGCCGACCAAAGAACCAAGCAAATCGCGAGCTGGTTAGAGACTCACTGCCCCCCTAGAGTACGCGGGCTCCTGGCGAGCTCGCTTGCTATTAGGGAACTGAATTGTGGTGTGCAGAAGTAGACTTCTCTCGATGGTTATATGCATTTCCTGGCTCTTGGCACAACACCATGCCTGACATCGCATGTCTCCCGCAGGATATTTATATACGCCTATTTGTTTTTTTGGTTTTGGCAAAAGGATTGAACATTATCCACTTAGTGTACAAAACACCAATTCGTTGTACTTTCCCCCCAAAATGTGCGCTTTAGGTTCTTTCGTTTGCTCTGGTGAGTATATTCACGTCGCTAGTCAGCCACTCCCAACCTCAGGTATGCAGGACAGGGGACTCGAACCCGCGATCTTTGATCAATGAACATTTTTAAAGTCCAACGCTCTACTACTGAGCCATGGGCCCTTTGTCCTGCCACTTGCAGTGGGGTAAATTAGCGATGGGTGGGTGGAGGAGGGATTGTTTATCGATCAGACTACGGGGCATGCTCGTCCCGTTACGCTTTAAGAGCCCAATCTGAAGTCCTCGTGTGTGATCAGAGAGCGACCAGTAATCACGCAAGCAGGATCATCAACAAGAACAATAGAGGCGGGTGAGGCCGTTTCTGACGTCAGTCAGGAAAAATCACCCACGGACTTGAATGACCCGAGGTTCGCATCCGCGTAAATTTACCAGCGTCAGACGTACTGAATGTAGTCAGAAAAACGACCGCCCGAACAGGGACTCGAACCCTGGACCCTCAGATTAAAAGTCTGATGCTCTACCGACTGAGCTATCCGGGCTCGGCTCCGCTGCTTACAAAAGTGGCGCAACGGCAGGAATTCTGCGACTGCAGAAGGTGCATTTCGAAGCGCGCTGAGCCATGTGTGAAGGGCGCAAGGCTCAGCTTAACACTCAGTAGCACTTAGTCGCTGAAATAATGTTTAACATACGAACCTTTTGACTGCGCTTAACACTGAAATTTCGCGCCATATGCGTTAGGGACAGCGACATTTTCCACCTTAATGCCTTAACTAAATTGTGGTGTGCAGACGTAGGCTTCTTTAGATGATTATATGCATTTCCTGGCTCTTGGCACAACATCATGCCTGACATCGCATGTCTCCCGCAGGATATTTATATACGCCTATTTGTTTTTTTGGTTTTGGCAAAAGGATTGAACATTATCCACTTAGTGTACAAAACACCAATTCGTTGTACTTTCCCCCCAAAATGTGCGCTTTAGGTTCTTTCGTTTGCTCTGGTGAGTATATTCACGTCGCTAAGAATTAATAAATCCTTTTGCAGCTAGGGACCTGATATTGTGGCTGAGGATAGCTCCAAGTGTGAAGCCGAAATCTCAGTCGAATATGGCCCCCCTCCTAACGATAGCATCTCCCTTTCCCTAACGCTGGCTCAGATCAGGTGGCTCTACTTTTTCCTCGGGACAAATTACGACAAACAATGGGTTTACCACGGAAAGCGGTGTCTTGCGGATATTCTTGGCCTGGTTTTTATTGCCAGCCTGCGCAATTCGTACGGAGACAGGTCGAGGACTAACCGACGTCTCAAGTGACTGGCGGCAAGCCTGGGTGATTGTCCAACGTGACCGGTCAAGAAATACCGGCCGGTCAGTCTCATTAGAGCGTACGGTGAACAAAATCAGCGAGGAATCCGTCATGGCAATATGCAGTCGGCAGTTTCGACCCTTACTCAAACCCATTATCAGTGGCAGCTGATGTTTGGCTTCGGGCAAAAGTCCGAAAATCCAGGCAGACAAAAGAAGCGAAGAGACGTGTCCCAGGAAGTAGTCTTGAAGAAGGAGACACGATCGCTGGGATAAGAGCTTTATTAGCCTGACATTTCGGATTCCTACTCGAACCCATCATCAGATACAAAAGCAGATACGGGTGGTTCATGCACATGGGGCTGCAGTATTGATAGGATACGGTCGCCATGCTACCGCATACCTATGAATGGTCACGGCTCCCCCTTCATCCGGGATCGTTGCACTTGCTGTGTCAATTGTTTGATGGCTGACATTCGCGTCGTTAATTGCTGCAATTTCATCACGTGTGTTGGGTGTTGGTGTGATCATTGCTCGACCATCTGACCCACCGATCCTGGCGTTGGGAAAAGTGTTCACCTGTGCGCTCCCCGCGTGGCTAGTTACTCCGCCTAGGCGAAGTTTGGGGGGTAAAGACAGACTACCCTTAGAGGCCACATCAATGTGCATCCACTCATTCACTTGCTCCTGTGGAGTAGGATACATCGGCCGCACAACGAGTCGCCTGGTAAAGAGGGTGCGTAAACATATGCCCGCCTGGCTAGACAGAGGTGAGACCCAGTCGATTTCGACTTCTATTCTCGCGCATTTAATCGATACGAATCACCGAGTCGGTGCCAAGGAAGCATTTCAGGTTGTCTACCGGACACCAACATGCTTCTCTAAAGGCCTACGCCAACGGATACTAGCAACGGCCGAGGCAGTAGCTATACGTCTAGCGAATCCGGTGTTATGATGTCAGAAAACCCTGATACAAGCGCTCTCTCTGCCGTGGCCAACGCCAACCCCAAGTGATGACGGCATGCCGCCTCAAATCCCTAATTACAGTGATGGGTACTCCGTGCACTCAATCCAAGAACATCACTCAGAGACTCTCTTACCTCCCTCCCCTAGCTCTGAGGACCAAAACCCGCCGACCTTGTCATGCGGGCGGCGTGGGGATGATGAGTGTTAATGACTTAATAGCCCTTGAGGCATCTATAAACACTGTTGATTTTGTATATTTTCATTCCTTCATGTAACTGTATTGGCCTGACGAAGAATTACCGAAAACACGTGTTTGCCAACTTTACGTCTCATCTTCATCTTCCTTCCAAAAAGAACCTGGGATTCGCATATTCGCTTCCATCCGTGAAAATGTCGGGCGTAATGCGCTTCGCACAGCTCGCAGCTGGGAGACATTCACCACCCGAGAGGCAGCAACATATGAGCAGCTACGTTTTCTGCACAGATGTGTTCGCGAAGGACTGACACCGAAGAGCCTACGCTACAAGACTCCAGTGAATACTGAACTTGGTAGAAACGTTGCGCAACGTTTTCGCAAGCAAATGACAAGAGTGTTGATTAACGACTGCCACTTGCGCCTACACAAGTACCGCGCCGTCATTGAACATACAAGGACAGAGTGCGCGACATTGTTTGGCGAATTGGTTACTGATTCCCTTGGCCGAACAATATCCATCTTGGCAAAAACGAGACAGGAGTTAAAACGCATGAACCTAGAGCAGAAGTTCGGAAAGTTGAAACCCGAATACAAGACAAACGAGAGGCCGGCGCAGCGTGAGGAGAGAGAAAAATCGATCAGCATGAGGCCGGCCAACACAGCTTGCCACTTTAAGTTAACTTTCTGACCGATTAGGTGCAGTTTACGCTTTGACAATGAAGAGCCGACCCAGCTCTTTGAAACGTCAGCAGTTAAATCAACCTGTTCCGGAGAGCCAATTTTCTTCTTCTTACAAACGAAAATGTGGTGCACAATCTATCTTCCAGACAGTTAGCTGAACAAGAACTGAGAGTGCTGAGTCGTGAAGCCAACTTTAAAACGGCAGATGCCAAACCGGCCGAATTTATCACCGCACTTGAAGCCATGTTGGTAAGAACCAATGCGACCGACGAGGCTAAACACACCGTACGCCAAAAAGTCACCTCCCTACTGCTGACGAACAGGCCCATCAATAATATGTCGCCCGCAGAAATAGAAGCAATGAAGGAATTAAAAATGGACAAAAATATAATAGTGCTGCCAGCCGACAAAGGAAGAGCAACCGTCGTGATGAACCGCGTTGACTACAACGAAAAGGCACAAGCCCTCCTAGACGACCAACAGTCCTACAAGTCCACGCCTCCCTCGCGAGCCAAATCGATGATTGGTCAACTAACTGGACTCCTGAACCGACTCAAGCGAAACAGTGCTATATCGCTGGACGAATGGCGACAGATGAAACCAACGGACACGGCACTGGCCCGGTTTTATGGATTACCCAAAATCCACAAGCCCAAAGTTCCCCTTCGACCGATCGTTGTCTTGAAAGGCAGCCCCACTTACAATCTATCCAAGTGGATGGCCCGAAAACTTAACTTTCTCCGAGAAGGCTCAAGGACCTCCATCAATTCGGCCTCACAATTCCTGGCCGACATCCGAGGAAAAGTTGTCCGACCGGAGCAGATTATGGTGTCATTTGACGTGGTTTCATTATTCACGTCCATCCCACCGGACCTGGCACGCGACGTTCTTCGCAAACGACTCGAAGAGAATTACGACGAGACGAACAAACCCCTAAAAATCGACCACTTACTGCAACTGTTTGCTTTCTGCCAACAACCTTCTTCACCTTCAATGACAGAACATACGAGGAGATCAAAGGAACGCCGATGGGTTCGCCAATATCCAGCCTGGTTGCAGAACTAGTCCTGTAGGAACTGGAAAAAGTCGCCTTCGACCACTATGAACCTGCATTTTGGCGCCGGTACGTGGACGACACGTTCGTCATAATTGAAAGGAGCAGACTGGCCGACTTCCAAGACCTGCTCAACGGCATCTTCCCAGACATTCAGTTCACAAGGGAAGAAGAGCATGCCGAACAGCTGCCTTTCCTTGAAGTTCTCGTCACACGCACACCCAACGGCGAACTCAACACCACGGTGTACAGAAAGGCGACTAACACGACTCAGATTCTCAACTACCACAGTAACCACCCAATGGCGCATAAACGCAGCTGTGTTAGGACACTCTTCCAGAGGGTAAAAACGCACTGCAGTGAACCAGAGGGACGAGTACGAGAACTTCGGCATCTTCGGGACCAACTGGCAAGGAATGGATACCCGAACAGCTTCGTCAGCCGCTGCCTCCGCACGCGCCCACGGCGAACAAACGGAAGAGAGCTGCCAACACTCTGGCACCCTCTGCCATATATAAAGAACGTATCCGAAGCGATGGAACGTATCGCTGGAGAGCTCGGCGTGGGTATCGCTCACCGTCCGACAGCGACCATGCGCAGCAAAATCATGCAAGTGAAGGATCGCCTAGACGTGGGTGAACAATCGGGCGTCGTCTATCAGATCCCATGTGGGGACTGCCCTCGCCACTACACTGGACAAACCGGACGACGACTTAGCTTACGAATAAGGGAGCACAAACGGGCGGCCCGGAGAGGCGACCCGTTGTCTCAGGTCGCCACTCACACCCTGGAGGAAGGCCACGAATTCAACTGTGCGAGCACGCGGATAGTGGCGCGGGCCAGCAATAAGACAGGACGAGAACTGTTAGAGGCCTGGGTGTCTGACACCAACGCTATCAACAGGCACGTTGACATATCCCCCTGCTATCACGCGCTCCATTCCCGCGGCCAAGGGGCGAGACCCAATTTCCAGCCAAGGGTGCACGCAGTCACGCCACCGTGAGACGGCGTGGGACTCAGCTTATCGCGAATACCACCCTCTGCACTCATATCTCTCCCCCCCTTCATGGCGTGACTACAAAAACCGCTCATTTGATGTTGCCTTCTCACAGTCTCTGACGAGGGCCTCCTGTACGAGACCGAAAGCTCAGACTAATAAACCCACTGTCCCAGAGATCGGGTCTTCATCTTCTTTACATACATTAAACTGCTCATTCTTTTGCTCATTCGGTTGCAAGTAACGTTTTCTTTAGAATTAAACTGGAAAGAAGGGAAGTCAGATTTAATTGTGAAATTATTTAATACCGTGAAATGGCCGTTCATAAAACGTCGCGCCTCTGCATTTACTAATGTGGCTTGTAAATTTAGTAATATGACTCCAATCCATTGCTCAATTTTTTAAACCCCATATGGTCTCCTGTTAGTACCGTGGAGAAGTATATGGTTAACCGTACGCAAAAAAATACACGGTTTGTAGGTTGAAAACCATGAATGCAGGTGTAACGGCAGGTTGCTTTCAGAATTATTCTGGAATTGGAAACGTTTTTGGAAACCGAATTCTACTTTTCCTTCGAGTATAAAATTGAAAGACGATAACGTTTTCCACCGACTGAGCAAAATGATGAATATTTTTATGCACGTTTGACATTAAATATAAGTAAATCTTTAAGGGATTCGATAATCAATGAAAAATACAGGCATGTGGTTTGAAAACCCTAAATGCAAGTTTTCCGGCGAGTCGGGTTCAAAATTACTCGGGCATTGGAAAAGACTTTAAAACCGATTTATTCCCTTCCTTCAAAGATTAAACTGGAAGAAAACGTAATTTTCTACCGAATGAGCAGACATTTGAATATTTTTAGGCATGTTTTCCATGAAATATAATTGAATGTTTAAGGGCAACGAAGATCAATGAGAAAATGCATGCTATGTGAGTAGTCGTTTTTTACAGAGTGCGGCTTTTTCATTCAGCCGGAAGGAGGTTTGTTCGAAAGCCAGCCTCCTGAGGTAACTGACTTAATGTAGAACTATGCTGCATAACGATCAGTTTTACAACACTTTTTAAGAAATCCGTACGAGACGAAAACGCACTTCGGAATTTCGGTTGACATTTCATGAGTTAACCCACATGCCACATTTATCTAAAATCCCTCTGCAAAACGAACTCTAATCTATGAAGATCAACTTCGGTTACAAATGACCAACCACATTTGTTCAACGCCTTTGCAACGGGACACCGTTTACAGTGACAAAACTAACGAAATTCTAGTCCAAAAGCAATCTGACTAAGAAGTCTATGACTGAACTTCATGAACCTTTCTGAAGGCAGATTTTATCCAAATATTGCTACATTTATCCAAGCACTTGAATCTGGTCAACCCGTGTTTTCTCAATAATAACCTTATTTCTGCCCTGATAAGTGACTGCACGCAATGAAAACTTTTATGGCTCATTTCACAGACATGATTGACATTGACCACGCCTGGATTTAACAACTCTGGTGGCTTTCAATCAAAACCGGTGACCTGCCCAACGTACCAGGACCCAGGCACCTCTCGGTTACTTCGCAATGTACACAGCTCAAAACAACTTCCACGAAGTCGTGATTTTCCGTGAGGTTATATTGAATGACTCATCCGAAAGGCCATATCTAACCGAGAGAACGATGTCCACCATTTGCTTCACTGAAGGATGAAGTAGGCACAGTGACTTGTGCTTGAATTAGTTTATAATGAGAGTGGACTTGTTCTGCATCTACCGCACTCTCTCCTCCCCCTTCCAACCTGGGACCGGTGTCAAGGCACAGTCAAGAAAACCGGGGAGCGGGAGAGGGAGCAGGCGATTGGCGCGATAGGAACCTGTACCCGGGCGTAGCATCATACTCTCCGGTCCTCAACAAACACTTGATAAGTATTTCAACCAACAACAACGCGACAATCCGTCAGAAAGACGAGGTTGACAGGGAGACCATGCCCAACGGGAACGCAAGTGCACCTACTGGTAGGGAATCATATGCCGGCGAACAGGAGTCTGCGAGAGTCATGGTTTGCTGAATCATGGCATAGCAGACGCGCACAATCCTTAAAGGTCAGAGGGCTGAGATGCTACTGTTAAATCAGTCTCGAGGTTTTCATTTATTACAAGCAGTGACAACGTACTACGGTAAACTGTTCAGCGTATAAGGTCTCCAGCAGGCTGTATGGTAGCTGGACATGTACAGTAGGTGGGCTAACTCTTGAAGGGTCAACCAACATTCCGAAATGCGTTTTCATCTCGAAAAGATGAGTTAAAAAAGATCGTAAAAAGAATCATCATGCAGCGTAATTTTATAATGATTCAGTTACTTCAAGAATCGGGCTTTAAAACGAACTTCTTTCCGGCTGCATGCAAAAACAGTATTCTGTAGAAAAGAACTACTGAAATAGCATGCATTTTCTAATTAATTTTCGAAACCCTTAAAACATTCAGTTACAAATTCATGGAAAACATGCATAAAAGTAGTCATTCTCTTGCTCATTCGGCAGAGAATTACGTCTTCTTCCAATTTTATACTCGAAGGAAAGGTAAAGTTCAGTTTTTAAAAAGTTTTTAATTGTGAGACTATTTAATACTGTGAAACGTCCGTTCATAAAACGTTACGTCTCTGCATTTACCAATGCAGCTTACAAAGTTAAGAATATGGCTCAAATCCACTGCTAAATTTTATGAACGCCGTACGGTCTCCTCTTAATACCGTAGAGAAATTTATGGTCTAGTTAAGTGCTAGATTTGGGCTTTACCTACAGTATGCAGGTCGCTTCAAAGGAACTCAGTATCAGATGTGGTTATGTAGCCCCACCTGAGGTAAACAAACACCAGTCACCTCTAATACGGGACCGGTGTTAATAGGGCTTTTACAGGTGGGGCCGAGGAACGCGCAGGTAACGAGGTCCAGTAGTTGTATGCAAAAGAAAGGTTATTGGGAATGCACGGATGTACTTTGAGTGGTTAAGAAAAAGTTTCCCTGACCCCTAACCCTAACCACTAACTCTAAGCTCTAACCCCTAACCATAACCCTAACCCCAACTCCAACAGTATTCTGTCCTTCAAGTGGGACTAAAAAACCACATCTTACCGAACTCATTAACTGGGCTCTTTGAACAGTAGGAAAGATTGAAACGTCAGGTTTAGGCCAATCGATGTTTTGGTATGAAACATATGCTTGGTTACTGACGATGTTTGGCAGTTTCTGACCTCAAAATTCATGTGATTTGTGGCTAAGTTACAACAGATGTGCAGAAGGCAAGGATTAAAGAAAAGCATAGCCGCTTGTCTCGATTTGGTCTTTTCCTCAAACTTTTCGATTAAGTCTCTTCGTGTCATTTAAAAGAAATCACTTTTTTGACATACAGTCATTAATATTTAGCGTGACGGCACCGTGATTATCATCTTGTTTAGAAATCGTTAGCTATTTTTCGACCCACAGTCCAAAAAAGGTATTGACATGCCGTAATCTGAAATCAAACAGCGCTCTAGTTATTCTTTGTGTGATAAACGAGTGCCTAACGAAATTCAGCCGAGAATACTTCTGTGCAATTCAAGCGTGACTTCATGTTGCAAACGACTTGAAGTGAATTCTCTGTCCTGGTGCCTGCCAAGTAGTTGTGGCGCGGTTTATCTCGTTGCAAAACTTGTTAGCGTACTCCTTGAGGTTTGATATTAGTAAGTGACACAAAGTAGTTGAAACGCACTCGCGAAATTCGTTGCTGTCAATGAACGCAGTCATGTATGCCTATTTTTGAATCTGTACCGCTACCAAAGTGCTCTACGCTAAGTTCAGCGAAGATACCCATGTAGGCATTTAAGAAGTCAAATTAGGCAAATGTACGCTTTCGACTGTTCCTCACCAGGCTTGTACAGTAGGATAATGGAAGGCAGAGTAGCCAAAGTTTAAACAGCCAGCAAACAGCAAGGATGGGGGAGGTGGTTGAGGACGTTCAGAGGTTATAATGTCTAGCAATTAGCTATGTGCAGTATGTTATAACCGACAAAGACATAGGGGAAACTGGAATGGCCATTTCTGGCTTATTAGCCGTTCTCAGCCAATCATACCCAACCCCGAAGTGTGGCACACCCGAGGCGCGAACTCGCGACCTGTTAGTTAGAAGTCCACGCCTCTAACCACTTAACCACGAGCCCGCTGCCCTGTCGGCTTCGATAGTGAATTTTCAATGGTAGGGGGCGCTCACCGATCTATCTTACGGTACTCACTCGTTCGGTTGTGCCTTACGGGCTCTCTCTCGAGCCCAACCAACCGCCGCACAGCGGTGCATGATATAGGCAGTATGTCATTACCGACAAAGACAAATTAACTGTGTCTCTGTTTCGTCACCGTAACGTGAAATGGCAGGCCTGATGATGAATAATCGGAAGCGTACGTCGACCGAAACTCCCGCCAGGCGTCTTACGACCCCTGGAAAGACTTTTACGATTAAGACGCAAACCAGCGCAGGGAGGTACAAACATTCAACTTCGCAGACCCACAGAAACAGTAAGGAATAGTGGGAGAAACAGATACTTGTGTATATGGAAAATGGGCTGTATTCTAAATGACTCGAGTATATTTCTAGAAGAGGACAGTAGTAAGGGATAAAATCAAAAGCATTGGAAAATGAGAACGCACCTGTCACACGTAACGCTGATGTATTTTTATCATCACTGAATTCCAAGTGGTCATTTTTTGTGTGTTTGCTATGCTTTGAAAAAGCACAGAATGATCTCAGCTATATTGCGACAACACCAGGCATCCTCGTTCTAAACTGCGAATTCAAATATTCTGATTAGAGACAAAGTTTATTACGTACATTGCTGCGTTCTTAAGTAAGGCATTAGGGAGTCCAATGCACTTCCACTGACCATCTGAATATTGATCACTATATTCTGCCAGCATCACACGGTGATTTTTTCGCCTCTACAATTAAAGACGCCGAGTTGTCTACTATAATTTATTAAGTAAGGGTGTAAATTACGACGCATTTGTTGGGAAACGAGGCGATCGGTATCTGCCCATCATGATGATAGCATTCCGAGGGAATCTGTCTCTCTAGCGGCCTAAGGACAACTCAGTTCCAACATGGCTTTCTTGAATTTCCCTACCAGGATGTTTATTTTCCTTCATATCATTCTGCTAGGTGAAATTTATCCTGTCGCTACTTAGGGGTAAAATGCAACTGGGATATTTAATACGCTTACGGTTACATCGGAGGAAGTGTATCTAAGCTGATTAACACTTTTTGGCCGGCCAACTCCATGTTAACGAAATAATGCATGTTTCTAGCCCTTCGGTCACATCGCTGGCATCACTATATGCTCGAAAAGATTGCTGGTGAACTTTTTTCGGCGACTCACTCTGTCCACTGGATCTAGAATCCAGAATGAGGTCGACACTCTGAAGGCACATTTCCCTACAACTCATGCAACAGCCACTAATGTCTCTCAGCTGGTGGTGGTCGCCGTCAAGTTGGACGAATGATCTTTCATGTGTGTCCGGGTTGTCTCCTTTACCAAGCGATATTCATTCGAGCCCGAAATCTGTTTGCGTACAGCTCTCATGTCTGACTCCGCAAAACTTCCCTGGACGTGGCAACCAATTCACAATATTCGTCGCAAAATACGGCCAGACCCGGATTAACCCAACAGACTCCAACGGTCGTGGGCATGAGTAGGAGTTTTGGCACCCATACATGGGGCCTTTGGGCCACACTGACTATTTCGTCCAATGATATGACCAGTCGTCATACAAAGGCCCCGTCACGATGGGGGTGGGAAGAGGGTGACTCCAATCTACTACCACCCATGCCTCCGGCCTTTGAATGGTGAAGGCCTAGGCAAAGTGCATAGTGTGTCTCAACCTTATGGGCCTCAAGGATTGTACGCATACGCTATGCCATGATTCAGCAAATAATGGCCCTCGCAGACCGGTATGCGCTGGAAATTCTCTGTAACCCGATTCCTTGTCGGTAAATAGGCTTGCGCTTCCACTGGGCATACAGGCTGTGTGCATGGTTACTCAGTGACTTGTGTTATCCTCTCTCTCTCTGACCCACTTCTGTCGTTGGTTTAAATCCTGGTCATCATAAATAGGCAGGCAGTCACCTGACTTTAAGAGCGGACTTGTCAAATGAAGCCAAACTTCTAGAGGAGGGCTCGTGTGAGCAGACAACAGCTTGTATTCTTGTCGGCCAAAAGTGCCATTCGAAGTACCTACTTTTCACATCTTGGGGTCAGCAGAGCCGAGTCTTTAATCATCCTCAGCAAAAGCCTGCGGTGATCGACCTGGAATCGACATTAACTGTTGAATCGTCGTTATGTTGTTTTCCGTAAGGAAAGTTTTCGAGTCCAAAACTTAGTATTCGTCGGCATCAATGCGCTGAACACTAACTGACATACAGCGGGTTTCCTCGCACCCATTCGTGTTGACTTCCAACTCCCCATGAGCACGTAAGAGTCTGCCGACAGGCGTCAATGGGGATCAGCTGCTGAACTGCCCGTTCCACGGATTCTGTCGATAGTTATCATCCCAGCTGGAAGGCACAACCATAAAGGCCCTTAAAATTAACAACGAAACTGCTGCCCGAATCTTCAGCTCAAGGCGAGTGTGACATCCCCGACGGCAATTTCTATCATTGTCTTTTGTTTTGCTGCTAACCGTTTGTTAGTAACCAGACTTTACTCATATCACCCTGCCTATGTCTCTGTGCCGCTATTCGTCGGGCCTCGTCATTCTTTGTTCATAGTTCTTTGCCCATTGTCTATTGCTCTTTGTCGCCGCTCGCTTTTAAACCGGCCACCACACTTTGGTGTCATTCGCTGACTGCTCGTTCAATCACCTCGAATGTACGTCCACTTTTCAATTTATTCCCCGCCTTATTAACTCTATCGTGCTCCGCTAATCATACTGTTTATTGCTATAGAACCACAAAGAATAACCCAGTTATCCCGATTGTCTTCTGACATAACTTTGACCTCGGGTGCGTCTATTCCGGTGAATAAACCGGCACTGAATCGAGAAGGGTTACTAACAGTGGGCGTGGGGCATATTATGTACTGAACTTACTACTGACATTAGATGCCAAGTCACGCACATCTGCACAAAGGACATCCCCGGACTTTCCGTTTAATCAGGACGTTCTCGGCAATTTGCGTATGCTCTCGAACGACCCGCCAAGCTAACGCTTATCCACTTGGCTCTACGCGTCTGTCTGGCCGGATGCGGAAGGCTTGAAAAACAGCAGCAGCATTAATGAGACTTCTGCCGCTTAGGTCCTCATGCCTGGTCTCACCTGTCTCCTTGAAGACAGCCACAAGAACAGACGAGTTCGGTCTTCATGCTCGGTTAATATTCTCATGAAGAAATTATGGGCTAGGATAGAGGTTACGGTTGTGGTTGGGACTAAGTTCAAACGAGCCTAAGGACCTGTGAGGCCGTTAACTACGTTGTTGCTTTTCAATTTCCTCAGAAATAGGCTGCTAACATGAAGTAAATCAGTTTATAATAAGGTCTATAGGCTCAGACTGGAATTTGATGTGGGAATATTTGGGTCGAAGTCTATCAGCCACAGAGGGATATCCTGTGACATACCACTAGCTGCCTGTCGGCATTTAATGAATACGACGCGGTTATCCCCCTGTGGTTGATGGACTTCGGCCCAAATATTCCTACACTAAATTTCTGTCTGCGCCTATAAACAGTATATATCGATTTACACCAAGTTAACGGTTAATTTTTGAGGAAATCAAAAAGCAGCAATCTCCAAACTGGAGTATCTACCAGAAGCCCACAGGGAAGGCTTGAGGTCCCATTGGTGGGCTGATCCCCTCGCAGCAGTGCCATAAGGCGGTAGAATATCGGCGAAACACGAGTTTCAGGGCTTCTAGCTGGCACCTATGCTGTTAATATGATAATATTATACAATGGCTCCTGTTATCCCAAAGATATAAGCTCCTACAAAGCCTTAATTTGCTTTCAGCTGCTTCCAGTGCCACTAACCGAGCAGATGGTCGTAGCTCGCTGAGAACCAGTATGCCATGAATCAAATGACCAATCCAAGATCAGTTTGCGTACCCACCAGCACAGGAGCGTAGAGGGTGTAACGATCTCCGCTTCGCATTCGATTATAAACAAGTGGTTCCCGAAACCAGGTGTCGCTATAGTTACTTACAATTCAAACTTCAGCATGGCTAATTGCGCCACAAGAAAAGTCTATACGGCAATTCCTTTAAAACAACTTCCATGAAAGTGGGGCCCCAGAGACGGCGAAGAAGTTGATGTGGGCCATGAGACATGTGCATAGGCGTTTGCCATTGGCTTGCTGGCGATGGGTGCACGTTTGCAGCCACCTGAGTCAATTCGCAAAAAGTAGAAAATTGTAATATAATGCAGGAGAAGAGAACTATGTTCTTCAAATTCCGTTGTCAAGAGGACGCGGCAAGTGAGCTCCTGAGAAGGTGTCTTGACCAAGCCGTTTTACGGACCTTCCTGGCGGCTAGAGTTCAAGTACTGTTTCGACCAACCCCGTCTTACGCGACGAAGGTAAGGATAGGCTACCACTTCACAACACCATCATGCGCATTTACTCCTTTTCTTGCTCCTGAGGAGCAGGCTACACTGGTCGTACGAGTCGGCGCCTATCGGCAAGAATAAGTGAGCACTTGCCCGCATGGCTGAGGAAGGGTGAAGATAACAGCAAACATGGCTCCATACTCGCACACATGGTCGATTCTGGGCATTGTGTGGATCTCAACAAAGCTTTCCGTGTGATTTACAGGGTCCAATATAACTACCCTAATCGACTGGATCAGCGCTTACTTGCAGCAGCAGCAGCAGCAGCAGCAGCAGCGGCAGCAGCAGCAGCGGCAGCAGCAGCAGCAGATGCGACTGTCACCAGGCTATTGGCCGGTCCTGCGCCTGCAGAAGAACCTCTTGCACGCTCCGCGTCTGCCGTAGACAGGGCTCGATTAACTGTATGCATGTCTCCGCACCCCCGTCCCCCCTCTCCAGCTCCCATTGTGACATGTCTCTACCTAACCCTCATAGTCACTGACTGCCTCCTCTCCCTCCTCCCGCACTCTATTCACATACTCCGTTTGCATGAAAGGACAAACCGTAATCTATTGCAGTTAGCACTCGCACGTTTCAGTTTGTACCTCGTTCACATATAAATGTACAGGCCCGATGGGAATTTATCGAAAGCACGCGCCAGTTCGCCAAATGTTCTATGGGAGTTTTTACAACCTTGAAAGTAACTATAATTACTAAAATTGTTTAAAGAAGCCAACCATACGGTATCAATCAAGTTGAGCTGCAGGAGAAAATCTAGCCAATATTTTTAAGTGTCCCAGACAGATTCTACCAACGGGATGGGTAGAATTGTAGCCCTAATTAGTATTTTCTCACAGACGAAGGGATAAGTAGGAGACAGAGAAGAATACTGCGCACAAACGTTGAGACAGTCAAGTCGCAAAATAGACGGCAATAATATTGACATGAAATTCATGGAAGAGGTAAAGAGGAATGCAAGGGAAATTTGTACATGAATTTACAGGGAAGCAGGACATAGGTGAGTAAGTTACTCTGGTGATAGACCATCTGAGCCTACACAAGTCCGTACACCGCCATTACTGTTCTTGTTCTGCTCTCCCTCTTCCTCGTCTTCTTCGTTGGCGGATTCTTCCGGATCCTCCTCTTCATCTTCTTCCTCATCACAATCATCCTCTTCAGAAGGAGGCAACATATCCGCATCCAAGTAGTCCCCAGAATTTTTGGGTTTTACCGATGGCGGAATAAAGGTAAAGACAGCTGGCCTAAAATCAAATTTTTCAAAAGAACCTTTGACATTCATGCTAATCCATAGCCCTATCTAAATAATATAGGTAGGCAGTATGTTATAAGGAGAATCGTGTGGCGCAGACAGTTCACAATGCATTAAGACCCCACACAGTTCACGGACCTCTTAACAGAAACCTTTCAATAACGATGGGTAGGTCCTAAAAGATACGAAAGTGCTTATCGCAACAACCATGGAGGACTGCATAAACCATGAGTTTCTGCTTAGATCTGGTCACAAACAAGCGTACGTCCTCGGAAATAATACCAACACCGAATTCCGCTGTCTACTAGGCGGTAATAAATACTGGACAGAAACTCTTTTCCGAGGACCAGCACTCAGACTCAGTGGTGGATACACGGTGCTCCTTCTATTCCTTCGGACCGGTTGACTGTGGGCGCCTCAAGTTCAATAGTGGGTTACGCCGACAACCCTTGGCCTCGCGATGAGATGACCCGGAAAAGCAATAATCGCAGTGATTATGGACCACGACAAATGAGAGGCAGCGTGCGGCTGTCGTTGTTGGTTCAGATGGACAGACTTATCTCTCATGTTCAGCCGGCACTTATGACCTGCGTGAGCCAGATACGCGCAGGAGGGGCCAATGCAGTTGATCATTTGAAGCGTTAAAATTCAAGAACACTTCTTCAGTCGACTAACTTCCCTTACGACAGGATTCTTAGGGACTACATCTTCGGTATACGCCACGGTTCGAAGTATGCAGGCATTAAGAAAGCCTAAGGAGATATACTAGGGTGAGATAAACTAGGATGAAAGATAAACTATTGGTAGCGGACATTCATGATGGCGGTGAGGGAATGCAGTTCATGAGCGACAAAATAATTGGTAGGAGGATCCGAAGATGCCATGTAAAAACCCGAAATAACTATACATTGGCATGAGAATTTTTTCTTTTTATTCCGAGAGCATCCCTGTGGATCGAACCAGATCAAGAACGACTGCGTATGTTAGTAACGACAATTTTACAGCAGATGTGTCGACAAATGGAAAACCACTCACCAGTCGGGACCGTCCATTAATTGCGTGACCTGCTTGTCCGTCAAAATACACCGAATTTCGGCTTTGACCTTGGGATTGTCAAGAGGAGCGCACAAAACGTAAGTATCTACAAAGTCCACGATTAGGTAAAACTTGCACGTCTTACTTGGTGCAAAATAGTAGGCATTGCGAAATTTCTCCGGGATAGACACGAGAATCGTTTCGCCGTTATCAGCAAGAGCCGAAAAGAGATAGTTCCCTAGGGATTTTAACAGCTAAGGAACCTGAACATGTTTTAAGGGTAAAAACTAACCAGGTGGATGCTTTCGTCCTCCTTCGGATGAGGGTCATCTCGACAAAGGGCTTGAAACGCGCGCTTACGCTTAGAAACGCTGCAAAAATTCATAACTTTCGAGGAAGTGGGTATAACTGTTGCAGGGAAAGACGACCTAAAATGCAAGAACGCAGAGACCAGTTGAATTTCGTTAGATATCAACGGTCAGACAGACCCTACATCGAAAAACAAGTGAGATAAGCAGTGAGCCATCATGCACTTATAGGATTTTAGGGGGACGTAGCTGTCAAATCAAGATAAACTGTCCAGAACTGTGAGGTATATAAGGATGTACAGAAAGAAGAGCATCGAAATAGAGGCCCCAAACACCCGGCTGGTTGAACGCTAATGCGCAGTTTGCGGACCAGGGTGATTTGACTTGCAGAAAATATTATGTCGACGGGCATGGCAGACAAATACAAGATTGGAATGACCAGTTGTCAATCAACCGAAGACAAATGCCAATCGAGTCGATAAATAATTTCTCTAAAGGTGCACTGCAATTACGACGATGAAGACCAATAAAGCCGCTAACGAAGATGGCGTATTCGTCACTGTTAGGAAAAATAGGGTTTATTCGGTCCGCATCTACTGTGAGGTTCGACCCCTCGTGATTAACGGGTACTAAGTCGAAGACCACTCTGTAGCCATAAGAACAGAGTAAGGAAGACATAAACGACCTGACTGATGTTTCTGGGGAGATTCTTGCATACTTGCGAAGCTAGTTATGGAGTTACCGCAACATGCCAATTATCACAATTGTCGTCAACGACGGGTATGGGTGTTGGGCCCTATAAGGCAACTGACCACCGTCTGAGAATAAGTGAAGTAGACAGACACCAGCACAAAATGAGATGGTGAACATTCGCTGCAACAACGTCACGCGAATATCTTAAATCCTTGAGAACTAAATAGTCTGACCACCTCTCCAGTTGAGTCTTTCAGTAAATCCAACGTCCACTTAAAGGCGAAAAAACTTCTACAAAACTGGTTCCTGAATCCTGGGTACCAAGCATTCGTCGCAAGGTCAGGATAGACAGACCAACCGCCGTGCAAAACAACATTTAAAAGGGTATTATGAGTGAGGTCGTCGGAGCGGGATAGGACACTTGCAACCACAATACACGTAAATAACTAGGATCGGACGACACAAGTCAAGGAGCGTAGTGTCCCAGACGCGATAGAATCATCGGATTGTCTGGTATTCTGCAACACACAGAAACCAGCAAATCCAACCAACAGCCTAAAGGCTGTTCTTGGAAATGTCTACAGCAGGATGGGCTGCAAGCCCGTGGGAATGCACATCCACAATTAAATGCCGAGACTGCGAGCGTGACGGCGGGCCTATGCGCAGGCTCACACGGCGCAAGTTGAGATCCAGGCCACCCCTTTTCCGTTTTTTTTTTAAATTCTGGTTGATGTACGTTGTGGACGATGGGGTGTGGTGGTAAGCATGGGTGCGGGATTTTGCCGTGTCGCCCTCTCTAGCCTCCGGTTTTCACGACTCTGTCTTGACACCCAGCCCAGGCAGGGGAGGAGAAAGTATGGTTAGCAATGCGAAATTTCATTATCACTATAAACGAAATCACGCGCAAGTCTTCGTCCACGTTCGACGAACATCGTTGATTACGCGTAATCCACCGAATTGTCAGGGTCAGAATGGATGTCACGAACTTTTCAGCCTCTACTCTTTCAAGGAAGTAGTTCAGTCATAATAAAACAGGTATATATAATACTATTAAAAGAGTGCGTATATCTCAAAGAGCACCGCAGCCTTAGGTGAAGGTTAGAAGCTGTTGAGCAACTTCTGCGGAACTAATGATGCATTTTTCCTCATTGTCAACTAAATGTAATGACACACAAAGCATACTATTTAAAAAATATAGAGGAACTTATATGAATCCTGGTAAAAACAGTTAATGGAATGCCCAACTGCACAACAAGTGTCGACTCAACTTACAACACGCCACCGAACGCAAACACCAAATCTAGTTAGCAGCCAACTCGACACCTACAAGTTGTAGGTCAAATGTTTTCTTTCACCTTGAAGTTATCAGAGATGTTAAAGTAAGCCAACTAACTCTGAATTTATTAAAGTATGGGAAGCAAAATATCTTTAGGTTATCATAAAAGTGTGCATGATAGCTGTAGACGTGAAGGACCGCAGTGTGTAACACATTTCTTCGCTAACAAGGACCCAATTTCAGGAACCTTTTTACGCGGGAAAAAACCCGAATCCGTCACTAAACAGTATCCAGCTAAGAGCTCAAAAAGCGTCACCGGGGAAACACGTATATATTATCATCACCCTTCTTCGAAAATCTGTCAAGACTTGGAAACCCGCAGGTGTCGAACTGTATTCAAAAAATTAATAATAGGCAGGTTAGGGGGATTCGAGCAAATGCAAAGGCCCTGGAATAGGACAACACCGGGAGGTGGATAAGTAATCTGCAATGGATCACTATTTAAAGAACAATTACAAATTTTCTTAGAACTTTTGCGAACAGATATTCAGCAACATGCTGAAATATGTAAATGTGCCTATTTGAGACAGCCCTGAGGATTATGTAAAGGGAAGTTTGAACAGGGGTGGAGAGTTAACGTGTTGAGTGGATATGTATAAAGCCTAATCAAATGATGATCCATACCACCGAATCGGTGGATGAGGCCATGGCTGCTTTAGTAGGTCAGTTAATCAGTCAGTGTATTTGAGAGGAATAGGCTTACGTCATTGAACTTCTTATTTGTACGTAGCAAATCGAGAAAGTAAGCAAAAATGCGAAGAAA